AAAGCTTTTTCCCTTTAAAAACAGGAGGGGAGGTCGATGACACTTCGAAATATATCCCGGTGAAAAGCAGTGACATGTTAAAGACAGATGTCTGTAGTGATAAGAGCTGACAGAGTTAAATAGTCACTTCCTGTCTCCACCTCTCACCCAATTCTCTGGGTTTCACAGGTCACGTCCGAAAATGACTATTTAGCTATAATACACAAAACTATTAAATGATCTGTTGGGGTTTAAAGTGCGACTGCAGGAAAGCAGACTTCAGAATGCGAGACAGCATCCTGCACAGATGTTGTGCGGGTGAATTCTGATTTTCCTCCTCGGTTAAGCTTCAATAAATATTCCCGCAGAAGCCGTCAAAGGGCTCCTGAGCGCTTTCTTCGCCGATGAGCTGACCATCGATCAGCAGATTTTCCATAGCACGCAATAAGGGAGACTCGCCGGCTCCAGCAAATCGGAACGTCGGGTTGACTTGAGTAGGATGACACAGAAGAGCAGGAGGATCAGTCGGAGTCACTCTTTTCTTTATTTTATCACTGATTGTATTTCATTTTGTCTTCGGCTCCTGCAGGACCTATCCTCCCTTCGTCTCTCCACACCATCACGACCCTTCTCCGGCCCGCGCAGAAGGGAAACTACTCAGCTACTCTTTACACGCACGCGCCTACCGCTGTCATGAACATAAGCACCACCAAGCAACATGTATGTGTACGTCCTCATGAAGCCTCCCAGTGGTCGCTCATTAAAACAAACACTGACTCCTGCTGTCTTGTTCTCAGAGTGCCAACTGCCCGGTGGACGTGTCCGGTTGCGGCCTCCATCCTGCCTCCCTCCAGCAGCTGCAGCAGCCGTCCAGCCTGGGCAAGACTGCCCTGACACACATCAGCTTGAACAACTACAGCTACACCTGGAAGAACTGAAGGGAGCCGGAATCGGACGGCTCGTTAAACCATTTCTGGTCTTAAAATGTCTTTTAAAACAGATTTTATTTCCTTACAGTTTTTTAAAGCGATTGAATAATTCTGAATTTATTTTAAAGTTCATAAATGTATTGTTCCGGCTGCTAATTTGTCAATAAATTGTATTTGTATCTTTGATTGCTCAATTTTATTATTAGTGTTTGGTACTGGATTGCTGTGGGTATAAATGAATCTGGAATATATTCGCTCAGGAATAGTTTTTTTTAGCTTTTTATTCTGAAAACCATCCGAAGAGACGCATATACTGTATAAGACTGATGGAAAGCTTCTGTCTGTAACAATACAATGTAGAGTTTGAAAGATTCAGTTACTGGGTGATCTTGGTTTGTCTTTTCTTCTTAATAAAATGACAGAATATTGTAGAACTGTTTTTTTAATAAATAATTTAACACAACATCCAACTTTTTACAGTTTCTTGAGAGCTTCTAATGCGGAACTACAGTTTACGAACCACTGACATTTCCCGTCTGTGCTCTAATAATAATAACTTTAATAATAAAACCCCCCAAGAGGTCCTCACCCCCTGGTTTGTTATATTATCCGTCCCCTGCTGCAGCACATGTGGCGACATACTGGGATTTCAAGTGTAATCATTAATCGGACTGATCAGTATGAAAATGTCCTGCAGGAACACACACTGATACTGGAGCCCGGGGAAACCTAAAGAACACAAGCTGGTAATTATTTATTATTTTCTAATTTAAATTGATGGGTTTTTAAGCAGAAAGCATTTTATTGTGTAAATTTAACTAGAAAGAATATAAAATGTGAAATTGAATCTAGTATTATTACACCTTATTTTATCCATCCCCTTCATTCATCAGTACTACATGTTATCCTGTGGGATCTTAAACATTTTCCCATTTAATATTAAAAGTAGTTTGCATGTACGATCAATCTTTCCCTTTATTTTGCATTTACTATTTATTTTTCTGGTTGGTTATTTTCGCATTTTACACGTTACTACAGTTACTCTGCAGTAATATCGCTAAAAATGAAATGATGAAATGAGAAGGACAGACGAGGGGGAGCAATGGGACAGGGTGGGAGGACACTTGATTCCCAGCAGGATGTTCTGCTTGATAAAATGTCTCATCATGTCACTTTTTAAATGCTTCTTAAACAGCCATCGTCTCTTCGGACTGAAAAACGAAAGCCTTATAGCTCGCTCTCATTCTCCTGATCGCCTGCAGCAGTGGTAGGTCTGCTTCACAAACTGGCTTCTCTTCTTTTTATCTGTTTAATTGCTCTGTGGAATCGCAGATAGTCAAACGTTTGAGTTTATCTGCAACAAAGATTTTATGAAGTTCAATATCCACATTATTTCTTTTTTATTTCACGTAAAATTTCTATACTTCTATTTTTATTTTTATTTTTTCTGAGCAAATCTTTATACACACTCCTTTTTTCCTCCTCTTGTCTTTTTATGTTGTGTGGGAACATTTTGTCGTTAAGCACTGACACATCCCGATGATGAAAACTAACCTAGAGTCACCTCTTTTTCTATTTCTTTCCAAAAGTGACAGGAAAAACGTTGAAGGACAACTTGTAAATGAATCACTGTGTTTGTGTGTTTTCCAGCAGAGGCTCTGCGGTGCAACCTATGTCCAGTGTTTGGCCGCTGCACAGTGGAGACCTGCAGGGGACTCACAGACGTCTGCGGCCGTGTCGTCTCTTTACGTCACAGTAAGTCGTCTTTTCTTTGCAGTGAAATGACGACAGAGCCAGACTACAGCTCTCTCAGTCTTTGTTCCGACTCCAGCTCCTATTTTTGCATTTCCCAGTGAATTTAGATATCTTGCCGTGAAGTTTAAGGCTGATTTATTTTTGTGACCATACTGTCAGGCAGACTTTGTGACATTGCATCATATTTTCCCCCCTGTGCACTGCAGGCTATTCTCACAAGAAGTGCCTGAGCCCAACGGAGGTCTTGCATTTAGAGTCCAATTTGAGCTTTTACATCTTTAAGTGTACCGCAGACCTGTGCAACTGAGGACGATGATCTGAAACAACGTGAACTCTGTTCCAGCCATTGCGATCAAAGTTTAATGCCTGGTGTCTAAGTTCAATAATAAAGAAAAGGAAGAAATAGTTTGACTCTGCATGATTTTTTTAAGTATAATTGCTTGTATGTCAACTTTAACAAACTTCGTTGTAGTACCAGGTACAGTGGACACTTAAATATATGCTTTTGACAATTGAAGTACTGTGTAAATAATATATTCGCGTGTATATGGTATTGCCGGTATTCCATGGTGGAAAACTAAAGGAGTATAATATGGAAAACTCTGGAAGAAGAAACCAGAAGAAAGCAACTGCTGTTTTCCAACAAAAACACAATATAAATGTGGCCTCATTCTACAGAAACAGGTCCCCTGTCAATGAAACCTTTAAAGCTCTGCTCCTAAAAAAAATGTTCTTTTAATTACTCTGCTTTTCTGTCATAAATATTTTGAAACTTCAGGTTTAATCTGGAAAACGTGCGGCGGTTTTATAAGCGTTTCTTAAAGTCAAACCTTCATCAGACAGAAACTCTAGTATATCTGGGTCATAACAGTTTAGTTGAAAGTGAAAGCAAGCAAAGAAATATAAATACAACATGAATTTCTCAACAGGAGGGTTGCACATGGGTAAACAGGTTAATTCCACTTTTGATTCACCGATGGGAAGTCTGCGATGTTGCAACCGGTCATGACGGATAACTGTTTGTCTGGCAGAGCCTCCTTCACAACTCTCATTATGTATTTATGCATTCAGTAAGTTTTACGTGTGTACCCTGGTTGCGTGGTATATACACCCAAAATGGTTTTTTGAATAATTTTTATAATTCTCAATGACGTGATTGGTGAATCTGAATAAAATGAAGATTTTGTCCCTATACAAGCTTTACGTCAAAAACCTGAAGCAAGATTTTTCAAATATGCATTATTTTATTATTTTAATATCCTGACTTTCATGTGACGTCTTCATAACTCATCATTTTCAGGCACTTTACATAATCATAGAGCAACAGCTCTTACAATGAGCAAATGCACAGTGATAAGTAAACTGGGACTATCCTGACTTGCTTCACTGCAGTAAAGTCAGTGATGTTGCAACTGACCAACAACAGTCAAAAGTCTCTCTGTAAACAAACACTTTATGTATCCGTGCTTTACACAATGTCACAAGTTCTTCTGTTTTAAAGTTGCATTATTGTATCACAAAGAAACTTACTCTTAAAGGTTCGGTGTGTGTGATTGAGTGATATCTAGAAGGGGATCTCAGCAAAGGGTTTTAGTTTGTCCAGTAAAAAACATGGCGGCCTCCACAGAGAGGACCCCCTTGACGTAAATATAAAGTATTTAAATATAAAGGGCCTTTTCTCAGGTAAAGAAAACTACAACTCATAGAATTTAGATGAAACAAACCAGTGAAAACATCACTGGGATTATTTTATATTCGATTTCTTTCAATAGATCCCTTTCACCTAAATCTTCCACACTGGACCTTTAAGTAACATAATTCTCTTCACTTAGACTTGTTCTAAAGATCTGAAGAAAAACAATACGACTAAAATAGCTATATGAAATACAATTCAACAAAAAATGATCTCATTTAAAAAGGTATTTGTTCTTGAACACCATCAAATGAAAGCACAGGTTAAAAAAAAAGGGACAGTTTTAAATTTAAAGCTACACAACTCAAATTCCAAGCAGCAGCTAGTTATAGGCTATTAGCTGCATCTAGCAAATAGCTGCTAAGGCTTGAGCATTCCTCCATTTCCGCTACTACCCATAGATTCAATTGATAAATGTATATAATATCCGTCCCTGAGTTAAGTTATACACCCGAGTCGTGAAGTCGGAAAGACTAAAACTCAAACGTCCGGTCTGCTTGTGAGACATGGACACAAAAAGCTACGAGAACGGGTTATAAATTGTGTTAATTGGTTTAAAAGTCCCCAAATCTCCGCTGATTGTCCCGACTCTCTCTCGTATGGTTATAAAAGTGACCAACAACCACTTCTACCTGTTGTCCCAGCATCATTGTCTATATTCCCATGTGCGCCATGAGTTTCTGCAGCTGATCCTTCTCTAATAATGTGCAATACTTTCTGAAATCCACACGTCTGAAGCCGCATTGCGACACCTCTGCCGCAACAACAGTGACTGCGAATATCAGTGCAGAAAAAAGGAAGCAGGGGCGGTAAAACAGGAACATACACCTTCCTAACAAATTCTTCTTTCAGAGAAAAGGAAGCCGATTTTGACTGCACATCTCAAAAGTGCGTCACAGACACAAAAACAGAACAAACATGCAGTGCAATCACACATTCAAACAATTTAGAACAAATAAAGCAAACGAATATCTGGTTAAAAGAAATATAATTCTAAAAACAAAGCCATTTTATAAAAATGCATCCAGAGCTGTGTTTCTATCTCTACTCTTAGCCTGGTTTGCGGAATGGAGATTGAAATTTTACATGTTAGAAATCAATTCTAAGAGCCACTGCGATGAGATGAGACGGCCGTGACACGATCGTACTTTTTTGGTGAGATGTCTTTTGCACAAGTGGGCGAATAGTGAGCTACAGCGCTCAAAATGGCCTGAATGAGAGTTTGTATGTAATTGAATGAAAGGAGTGATCCGATCTGGGCGATAATCCTGATTGGGGATATTGTTTTAACGTCTACGGAGCGCCAAAGATCATTTCTGGCCTCATGGCTGCGCTGCAGAACCTGAAAAACGAATGCCTGAAATTACTTTTTTCTGAAAAAAAAAAGAAGACATTTAAAAGTTTATGGCAGTGAGACAAGTTCTCAGTGAGGCTTTATGGATACTGAGATTTGTGGATCGTCTGCGTAACATTTCAGATTTGGGAATACCAACCCAATTCCTATTTTACAATTTGGGTTAAATTTAGCAGGAGCCTAGTTGATGAGGATATATTTGACCCGTTGTGGGAATGTGGATCAAATGGCAGGAAGACAAGTCTTTCAAAGTCGTCATTGAAGGGGAAGTTGAGAGAAAACAAGTGGCTGCCAGGCAGAACAGTGACTAAGGCTGCGAGGAATGTGTCTGCACAGGGGTTATTGCACAACACTGCATTTAACTAACGTTATAACTCACACTCGCTATAATTAGATTTGTCCTTATTTTGAGTTTTGGACATTTCGATTCGCTCTCACGCATCACATGTTACCGCAGTCGGGCCATTGACTTCACTGAGATCCGTGCTGTGTCGGCTTGTAGTTAAAACACAAAATACACAGGTTGACACAGTCGTAATAAATCAGGCGTGTTGTCAACTCCGATTGGCAAAGGCTCGGTCATGTGATCAGCTGTGAAATCAGGTACCGTCGCCGACGGTCCCCGACCAATCACAGCGCGGGGCGCGGGTTCTTAAAAGAAGAAAGAGGAGGATGCAAAACCAGAACACTTCTGGGGAACACAGGGACAAACCGACGAAGCATCTGAATAACAAGGTAACAACCCATCTCTGTATGATTAGTACTTCTGATGTGTACTTGATGTACTGTGACGTTAATGCAGTTTTATTAACTGTCCTCGTGAAAGCTGTGTTTTTGTACTTTTGACTGTTTCAGCCTCATGCATCTTTCCGTCTATGTAGAGAGGCTCTTACTGTTTTCACTCCAAAAAAAGATAAGATAGACTTTATTAATCCTGAAGGAAGTTCTTGTGCCAGCTTGCTCTGATATTACAGCAGCAGAATATATAATAGAGCACAGAGAATAGTATAATATATAGTATAAAGTGGATCAAAACGTAGAACCGGTGCATACAGAAACAACAATAAATGAAAGTAAAATAAGTACCTGACCCTGTTAGATTCCTCTCTCTGTATACATCAGCAAGTCTCATCCCAACGGAATGAGTTCAGCTCATAAACGATCACAAAGAAATGTTCCTTCATAGTCCACCTGTGCATTCTTTGTCTTCCAGAATTCAAAATGAAAGCTGCCGCGTGTGCCATCCTCGTCCTGCTGGCTCTACATCAAGGTATTGCTTTTTCTTTCATACACAGAACAGAGAATTCTCGTGTCTACCTCTGTCGAGGCAGAAACACAACCAACCAACCATATAAATAGAGCCGATAATAAATACAAGTATGTTATTGTATATTGTTGTAAGATGGGAGGGAATTAAGGAAGTAACACGCTTTTTAATGCACTTTGTGAAGCGTTGATTGTTTTAAATAAGCTTAAAAACCAGGTTAAGTATTTCCCAAACAGATTTACCGAACCCATCATTAAAATAGAATAGTTTGCACCATGCAACAATGTCCTTATACTTGTTACCGGTTAGATACATAGCCAATACATACTCTCTGAGCACTTGGTGGACACACGGATTCACATCTGGTGACTGCGGAGGACACCGAAGTTCACCGTCATGTTCGTGAAACCAGTTTGAGACTTTTACTTTGCGCCCCAGGGTTCTGTACTTGTCTGAGGAACCTGATGTGGTCTCGGCTGTTGTCGAGGATCCGGAATCAATGTTGGACGTGTCGCTCATTTTGAAATTCGTCCAAACGTTTTCCTCTGTTTTTTTGGGGGGTTTTTTCGCCTCCACTCTGAGTAAAAATCCCAGAGGATCAGCCCTTTCAGAAATACTCACACCAACAATCATGTCACAGTAAAAGCCACTGGCATTCTAGTTTTCTTTTCTTTTTCGGAAATTCTTGTCAAGAGTGAGGAACAGAGGAGGTAAACGGACGATGATCGATATCCAATTTTACACTTGATCCTCAAACTTGAATTAAATATATGTTAAAATACATTTAACAAAAAAAAAACTACTTTAAATGATCAAATCTACTGGTTCTTATAAACTACAATACTTTTGATAGGTATTAATAAAACAGGCTTTTTGCAGATATCAGTGTATGGACAATCTTCCCTTTTATAATTTGCTTTTTTTGACATTTTTCACATGTGCAAATGCTCATAAATATGTGTGTGTTGTTTCCAGCTGAGGCCCTGACGTGCAACTACTGTTACTCTAAGGGAAGTAAACTCTGCACCTCCACCACCACTCAGACCTGTTCAAGGAGAATGGACGCGTGTGCCACCGTCATACTGCCAGCCCCACTAAGTGAGTAGGCCACCGGATAGATTGTTGTTGAATTGATTTAACCTCACTCTCCGCGCTTATTAATTCCGACCAATATATCAAATGTCAAAATATAAATTTAAACTGTGTCAAGTTAAAAGACTGTGAAACTGTGTTATGTGCTTTTAAAGGTATATAACTATATATTGGTATCTCGTTTTAAATACATGATGAAACATTAACATCTATACAATAAGGGCCTGAGTGTGTGAAGCTGTTAACGTGTCCACTTTGTTCTCATTCCAGACAATTCATTCCGCTCGTGCATGAACATGGCCATATGCAAGGGTTACATCCAAACACCGGGCGTGATCGCCTCATGCTGCAGCACCGACCTCTGCAACAGTCCTCACCTCAGCTTGGCGCCATTATGATGTTGGATGATCCATTTCTCAAATTCAAACCATTGACGAGTGGCACTGCTTAATGACACTAGGTGGCACTAGAGCGCCGTGAAGCTGGGCCACCACTGGCAGTGTATGTGTGTTTTTTTTATGTGAAATTATTAAAAAGACTGAAACCATATGACATTTTTGGCACATTTTATCTTCTAAGCGTTGTGGCTTATCATTTATTAAAGTCATTTTCACCTGTGGATTATCTGTTGAGCTGAACATTTGCAAATGCATTTTTTTTTCCAGTCCCGAGCAAAGATCAGCGGGAATAGAGATAGATGTGTTCTCCTTTGTGCGGGCTGCAGCTCTCTGCTTGCACGACTTAGGAGCTGATGCTTTGGTTAAGAACAATTTAACATCTTAGGAATACCGTGTGTTAAACCAGACATGGTTAATTAGGGAAAATACCGTCCAAATGTTCTGCAAAGACAAATCAATCAATCAAATTTGATTTGCAAAGCCAATAGTCACAAATAAGAGTTTGTGTCATAGGGCTTTAACAAGCTGTGACATCCTCTGTGCTTAACCCTCAACAAGAGTAAGGAAAAAAAGAACCTCAGAGAGAGCCACATGTGAGGGATCCCTCCCACAGGCCGGACAGAAGTGCAATAGATGCCACATGTAATGGAGAACGTCAGAACAATAAGAGTAATTACAGAATATCCTACTGTGTATTCAAGCATATTAAAGTTGTCAACGCGTGGGCGTGCACGGAAACACGGATGTTTAAGTGAACTCATGCAGGTTCTAGACCACCAAGTAACAGTCTGATTAGATCAAATATTAACCAACTATGTATTCTCAGGAAAAACTTTGTACTAATATGTCATTTTAAAGGTCCAGCTTGTAAGATTTGGGTGAAAGGGAACAGAAATGTAATGTAGAATAATCCTCATGATGTTTTCACTAGTTCATTTCATCTAAATTGTATGAATTGTAGTTTTCTTTACACCAGAAAAGACCCTTTATATTTAAATACTTTATATTTACATAGAGGGGACCCTCTCTACGGAGGCCGCCATGTTTTTTACATTAGTCCAGACTGGACAAACAAAACACTTTTTGACAACTGAAGCTACCACATGTTCTTTTTCATGATTGGAAGAAGAGGGTGAGGTGAGGGGTGTTCAGCTGCAACATGCAACTTCAACACTAGATGTCACAAAATTCTACACACTGTACCTTTAAACATTTTATTTGTTTTTACAATTATATATAAAGGGGTAGACACTTCATATTTCTTTGTCTGGCCACATATACATGACTTTAAAATGCTACCAGAACCGTCTATCTCTCTTTTCCTTCTTTTCCACCCATCTCTCCTCTCTTCCCCATTTTTCTCCACTCACTTTAACCAGTCGAGGCAGGGAGCCGCCCACATTGAGTCTGGTTCCAACCTCCCAGTTGAGTTTTTTCTCTCCACAGTCGCCAAAGTGCTTGGTCATTGTGGGAACTGTTGGGTTTCTGTATTATTTTTCAGGTCTGGACCTTAACATGTGTGATGCCTTGAGATTATGGATATTATTACTTGGGGCTTTACAAATAAATATTGTGGTTCGGAAGTTCAAAAATGGAGTTCTTGAAGGAAAGGGTTGCTCGCGTTTATAAGGTGTCACTCTGTTCATCTACATGAGAGCACAATTACTGACTGACGGAAAAAGAAAATTCCAAATACAAGTAGCCACAATGAATCCTCCTTGGCTTCATCTTTAGGGACACACTATTTCAGAATAGACCAGTTTCTCCTCTAGAATAATGGGAGTCCGTTGCGGTCACTCAAGCATGTGATCAGGACTCTCTATGCAGGTACACCCAGGGAGACCTGGGGGCAGAGCTGGAGGGAGTACATAAATCCCATCTGGCCTGTGAATGTCTCACGATTCACCGGGAGCAGGCGGAGAGAGGAAGAGGAGACGCACATCTGGAATTTGCTGCTTTGTTTGTTGCCCCTGCGACCGGCAACAAAAATAAAAGTATTAGTGGCCAACCTGGAAGCATTTTCACAGAAAGAAAATTGGGCACTGCGTCGCATGGAGCACATTAAAATGCAGTTTTACTGTTTTGCTTTTAAAGGTGTGAATGAAACAGCTGTTTGTTGTTGATCAGAAGAACTCTGTTTAATTGAAAAAGCTTTCATTTCATGTTAAACTGCAGGGGCACTCGGAGAACACGATCTCCTGCCAAGGCTGATTGGCCACTTTATCACCATATCGCATGTCGAGATCAGATCCGTGTACAAAGAAATGTTCTGCAAACTAAAATATATAAATATAAAATAGTGAAATATCAATTATTTGATATTCTCTAATAGCTGTAATTGGATTTTCTGTTATCACACAGTACCTGAAAGATCATCCATTAAAAATATATTTTGATTTCTATAATCCAGATCATTACTAGGATCCACAACTAAATTGTTCATAGATATCTTTCTAAAAAATATTTCTAATAGAAATATCTGAATTATTTATATTTTTTGTGTGATTCTGCCGATTAAACACAAACAAACAAATGCCGATAAGGTTTTGCGTGATGAGCAAGCCTAGTAACAGAAAAAACACATTGTTCTCAAAACTTTCATGAGTGTGGCTAGAGAGAAACGAACCCCATAAGGTGGACTCCCTCCTCCCCAGCACCCACTCAGCAAAACCACAGGAAAACCAACCTCCTCCTTTATGAGATGCACCCAATTAAGCGGGGCTTCCCTTCAGTAACAAGTGCCTAAGAGCAGTGTGGAAATACCATACAGCTGTCTGCGTGAAGCCTGGAGGACCCCACGCTGAAAGCTAGGATTCCACCAGCACGCACGCAGAGAGGAAGACACGCACACGAACAAACAATGGAAAAAAAGCGTAACGGGAAATCTGCAGCTGGATTCCTGCGTTGTTGTTTTTTTAAGCAGCACATTACTATGTCCAATACTTATGATTAATTATACTGAATTGGAAGGAGGCTTGTGTTTTAAGGAAGTTTGGTTTATCGGTTATTGATCCATAAAATCCGAACCTGAGAATATGTTCCCAACTTCACCGCAGCATTTTAAATCCATGAAACTATGAAGCAGCTATATCATTCCTTCAACTTAAGGATAGGATGGTCTTATTGTTTGAAAATTGATCAGCTTTTAAAGTGATATGAGACAGTCACCGCCTGTATAACCAACTGCTTTTAACAAATTCAGCTTATTTTGATAGAAATAACAGCATATGGTCGTACTAGACCCCAATAACCTCAGTGTGCAGGGACACAATCTAATTTTGGGGGGTTCAACAAGAGCGGGAGAAGATTAAATGTTTATTTAAACAAATGGGAAATAAATGAGACGCCTGAGAAAGATCATAAGTAAAAGCCAATAACTTTTATTTCCCTGATATTTAAAGAGGCTAAAACAATTGAATTACTGAGGTCACAGAGATAAGTATAGGCAGCGTTCTTACCGTGGGGAGATTCTATTGCAAACCAATAGACACCACCACGTGAACACACTGATCACTGCAACTCAGGACACACAATAACACTTCAAGTGACCGCCACCCTTCAGGCCTTCCACGCCACATGCTAAGTGGTGTTCAGGATCACAAGAAAACATAAAAAGAAACATTCAATACAATTATTAAAGGTGTAGCAGTCCAACAGGAATGCGAAGCGTGAGACGTCGGACCGACGGTACGAAACAAAAGCAGAAAGTAGTAGACAAACACTGGTAGAGTTAAAGCAGCAGTCTGGCAACAATCGACTACCTCTCAAGCATACAGAGAATATTTCAATCTGGGTCGGGACACAGCGAAAGAACTGAATGTACAAGAAACCTCATTAGATTCTCACACAGAAAAATCAAACACACACACACACACACAGCAGTCTACCAGGAATCAGACAAAGAGGAAGTAATTGCCACCACCTGTCCTTTTAAAGGCGGGGAGCTCTCTAATCCCACCTACCAGGGCGGTGCTCCAACTCCTCATCTGTATATTTTGTTGTTCCATCCTGAAGTTATTTGTCGTACATCGCAGCGGACGACTTGTGAATTTCGCATTGTTTGCTGACAATCCGAAGAGCTTAGTAATGGATTATGTTGCTCCACAGAAGAGCTCATTAGCCAGCTACACTGGTCTTTTCCCCCAGGCTGTATTTATATCTGACGCAGGTGCGATCAAGCTTGTGTCCAATTTCCCCTAATCAACATCTAACGTGATGATATGATATATTGTGAGTAAAGGAAGTTTGAGTATTTTGTTTATTTCACAGTTTATGTCTGGAAAAATAATAATAATACAAGTAAAAATATACCAACTCATAACAAAAGTGTAACTGATATGAAGCCAATTTATTACTTTGGGGGTTAACGACGACAATTTAGACACCTGAAGTGTGTATCTCTGATTTCCCTTGTTGACCACCACAGCACATGTCACACTTTAATTATATTCCTCACAGTAACTGGGGGATGTATTATTGTAAGGGATATATAAACCATTTGGGATTTGCTCATACTGGAGGATGTATATGGAAGTTGTCATGGTGAGCAGACGGTTCGTAAGATGTGTGTCAGCGTTGAGCGGCAAACATTTCATTCTTTCCTCAGCCAGCGTCATGTAGTCTTTGTGTGCTATTCGCTCTAGCCTGTAGGAGCAGACTCAAACAGACCATAGATAGATAAAAAGGTAGATAAATCAAGATAGATAGATCAAGATAGATAGATCAAGACAGGTAGATAGATGAAGATAGATACATGGATAGATGAAGATAGATAGATGAAGATAGATAGATAGATGAAGATAGATAGATAGATCAAGATAGATGGATAGATCAAGATAGATAGATAGCTAGGTCAAGATAGATAGCTAGATCAAGACAGATTGATAGATAGATCAAGATAGATGGATAGCTAGATCAAGATAGATAGATCAAGATAGATCTAGATAGATAGATAGATCAAGATAGATAGATCAAGATAGATACATAGATAGATCAAGATAG